CCAGTTCCCTAGTATAGTTTATAATCCATTACTCTTCTAGGCTTTTCTAAAAATCCATGCTCCGGTGGAAAGCATATGGTTCATCCATATCAGTCTATACATTTCTCGATTGCTATAATTTATTGGCACTCACTCATATTCATTAAAAACTTAAGCAGATGACCCACAATTTTCTTACCCCTCCAAGTTCTTCTATTTTCTTGGGCCTTTCCATGTCAATGACCTCACAGCCTTCACTTTGTTTGTCTCTTTCCTTTTAGTGATTACTTATACTTTATTTCAGCCATGTGCATCAGCAACGAAGACCTTGATATCTGCTAGAACTTATTCACTATTTCATTTTTCTCTTATTCCCACAGTGCGCATTCTTTGATATTTTTACACAGACCTCTGGTTCATTGCTTTTCCTATCTCTCAAGTCGATCAGTCAGTTGATCATAATCTCGTTGGAATCATAGACTCCTTTAAGAATGGAATGAAAGCTTAGATACTCTTCTTCAGAATGCACACAGGCATATAAAAATTTATATCAATTCCAGGGGTTTCTCAGTATTTTTAAGCCCATCTATGTAACTAGTAAGAGTTCTTGGATCTCTCAGTAAATTCCTTCTCTAAATATTTGTTGAATTCTTCAGTTTCCTTTCACTTTATTCCATCAATTATTGTCTCTTTCTTATATCTTACATTTGTATATCATTGCAGATTTACAAAACAATTTAACATTTGTCATCTTTTTGAGTCACCCAATACTGTGAATTAAGTCATTTACCAAGTTTGAATCTTTTAAAAACTTTTTATTGTGGAAAATTTCAAACATATATGAAAAGAGAGAGAAAAGTATAAGGAATCTTATGTAGTCATCACCTAACTTCATCAACTGTCAACTCATAGCAGTCTTTTCATCTATATTTTTCCTCTACTGTACCTCTGCCCCCACTGATTACATTGAAATAATTCCTAGATCTATAACTTCATGTGAAATGTTTTAGTATATATTCCTAAAATATAAGTGTTTTTTAAAATTATTTTTTTAATTTTTCAATTACAGTTGACATTCAATATTATATTAGTTTCAGGTGTACAGCACAATGGTTAGACATTAAATAACTTACAAACTTATCTCCCCAATAAGTCTAGTACCCACCTGGCACCATACATAGTTATTACAATATTATTGACTATATTTCCTATGCTGTACTTTACATCCCTGTGACTGTTTTGTAACTGCCTATTTGTACTTCTTAATCCTTTCACCTTTTTCACCCAGACCCCCAAACCCCTTTTCCATCTGGCAACCATCAATGTGTTCTATCTGTGAATCTGTTTAGTTTGTTTATTTTGTTTTTTAGATTCCATATATAAGTGAAGTCATATGGTATTTGTCTTTCTCTGTCTAACTTATTTCATTTGGCATAACACCCTCTAGGTCCATCCATGCCGTCATGAATAGTAAGATTTCACTCTTTTCTTAAGGCCAAGTAACGTTGCATTGTATATATGTACCACATCTTTATCCAGTCAGTCATCTATGGATAGACACTTAAGTTGCTTCTAGATCAAATGGCTATTATAAATGCTGCAATGAACATAGAGATAGATATATCTTTTTGAATTAATGTTTTGGCTTTCTTCAGATAAATACGCAGAAAGTGGAATTGCTAGGTCATGATATAGTTCTATTTTTAATTTTTGAAGAACTTCGATACTGTTTTCCATAGTGGCCGCACCAGTTTGCAATCCCACCAATCGTGCACAAAGCTTCTCTTTTCTCCAAATTCTCACCAACACTTGTTTTGTTGATTTATAGATGATAGCCAGTCTGACAGGTGTGAAGTGATATCTCATTGTGGTTTTAATGTGCATTTCTTTGATGATTAGTGACCTTGAGCATATTTTCATATGTCTATTGGCCAATCGTATGTCCTTTTTGGAGAACTATCAACTCATAGCAGTTTTTTCACCTATATTTCTCCTCTACTGCATCTCCCACACCCATCTATAACATTGAAACAATTTCTAGATATCATATAATTTTGTAAGAAACATTTTAGTATACATTCCTAAAAGATAAGGGCTCTTTTAATAAACACAATCAAGCAGCTATTATCATACCTAAAAAAAAAAAAAAAAAAAATTAATTCCTTAATATCATCAAATATCAAATCAGTGTTCTGCTTTTCCCTATTGTTTAATAAATATTTCCTCCTCATTGGCTTGAATCCAGAGCTAAACAAAATCTATGCATTTTATTCAGTTAGTATGTCTTAAGTTTCTCTTAATCTAAGGGTTATCTCCCATCTTTCCTTTTTTTTTTTCCTGGCAGTTTATTTCTTGAAAAAACCAGCTTTATTTAAAAAAAAATTTTTTTCGTCAGCATCTCTGTCCTGTTATTTAACGTGTTCATCCTGATCTCATTTCTTATATGCTGGTAGAGGCTTGCTCTGATTCAGGATTAGTTTTTGACAAGAGTACTTCATGGGTAGTATGTCACTTTCATCAGGAGATGCATAATGTTTAGTTGTCTTTTTTGATGATAACAGCCTTTGATGATTGTTGCCTAGGTCCACTATTTAATTAGGAGTTAAAAAATGGTGATAGTTAGATCCTCTTACTCCTTCTTCACCTAGTTGGAATACTTGTATAAAGGGCTAGTGTTGAAATTTAAAGCTATTTCTTTGTCATTTCCCAGAATGGCTTCCTTTGGATGGAAGAGGAAAATTGGTGAAAAGGTCTCAAAGGTCACTTCCCAGCAATTTGAAGCTGAAGCTGCTGATGAAAAGGATGTAGCTGAGAATGATGAAGGGAACTGGCTTCATGCCATTAAACGTAGGAAAGAAATTCTCCTTGAAGGCTGTGCTGAGAAAAGTAAACAACTGAAGGATGAAGGAGCAAATTTGGCTGAAAATAAAAGGTATGTTTTTAGAGTTTTTGTTTTCTGACTTGCTGTCAGTAATGGGATGAAGAGTTATGAATTCTATATATTCATGTTTTTAAAATGTGGTCTAGGTGATAAATTAATCAAAAAATAAGTTTTAAAGTCACCTTTAAACATTACCATAGAATCTGAAAGTATAAAGGAATCATCAAGATGCTTATAATGTCTCTGCTTTGCCATCCTTTTTGTTCTATCGAAAGTGGAATAAATGCTAAATAAAATGTAATCCAACTTACTGGTTGGTAGGAGATGGTTTCATTTCTGGAAACTTTCTCCTTGCGATATTATGTACCAGATAAAGTAGATGTTTCCTGAACAGCTTTGAGGGTGTGTATATGCAAAATGTGTATATACATGGAAAAAAAATAACTGAATACATATATATGTATGTATATGTTTATACATATACATACATATATATGTATTCAGTTATTTTTTTCACATATATAGAAACATACTTGTATATATATGTACATATGTATAAATTTATTTACATATATAACTTATTCCTCTATCTCATGTATTTATTGTAAACTGAAAGTTAGGTGTCGAGATCTGATTAAACATTTTGGGCAAGAATACTTCATAGGTATGTTTGTGCTTTATATTGTACCATATTGGGAGATAAATGACATCAGGTTGTTATTAGTGCAGCCATTGGAGAGACCTCGTGCCTATGTCAGTCTGCTATGTGTAATAATTTGCTGAAAGCCCTATTTTTATAAAAATCTTGAAACTTTTATCTTCGGTGAAGAAAATATAGTAGGAAAATTACACAACAACAGGAGGACTTTATTTGCACTAAAGATATGATTTTTAGAAGACATATATATGATCAGCAGGAGTAGTATCTGAATAAGTTATTGTTTCGGACAGAATACACTTCATATCATCCAGAAATCTAAAATTAGGACTGTGTGTTTTTGACTGGTTGTCTTCAATGTGATATTGAAGAGTTCGAGAAATTAAAAGACGTAGTGTTAACAAAACACTACATCTTTTCTTTGTTCCTTTTTTTTTTTTTCTTAGTTGGTCAGGGTGGTTAGAAGATTTCTTGTTAATCATTTTTGTCATAAATGAGTCAGAATTGAAAAACCAATATTTTAGTTTCTCGGTCTATTTTTATTTTTTATTCTGGTGTAATCTTTTTTTAAAAAAATGTATTTTAGTATATGTGCTGCCGAAGTGAGCACTTTTAAATATATTTTAATGTAAAACATAAAATGGTGCTTGAACTATAATGTATCAGCATTTCAAATTGGGAATGAAGGGTAGGAAATAAATAACAGTCAAGGACAGTTAGCAGCTTAACAGCTTAATTTTAGATTGTGAATTCTCGTTTGTTATTTTAGATACAAAGATTTTTCTCCTGTAGAACTCGTGAGATTGACTATTCTGTCTTAGTCAGAAGAAAACCAACTGTAAATTTTCCACATTTATGAAATCACTTTCAGAACATCCATAAAACATCTTTAGAAATTCCTGTAAATGCCTGTTAAAAGTTCATTAACTTTGTTTTTTTTGCCTTTTTCTCTAGACCACACTAGTGTGTGAAAGGGAAAAGCTATTCAGTTATTGCCATGGGATTCCCTCTGAATTTCTTGTGGTAGAAGAGATATCGAATTTGTAGATAAACAAAATAACTCTTGTTTTTTTGCCCACATGTCAAAACATTGAGTCATTTCACTAAAATCAGCTGGATTAGATGCTTTATTTTGAATGGAGACCACTGTGAGATTTCTTTTTTTGCTCATTATCATTTGTTTTAGAGTAATGTGTACATAGCTTTAGAAAATAACTAAACAAAATTTAAGGAATCTCGTGGAATTGAATAGTTCAACAGCTCTATGCCAAAAATAGAAATAGAGATAATAGTTTAAAATATCTAAGAGAATATGAAACTTGATTGAAAATAATATGAAAAGTATAAAATAATATAAGGTGAATTAGTAGAGTTAAATTAAAAAAAGTAAAGGCTCAGTCCCTGCATTCCAGATCAACTTTATCTTCCATCACCCTCATTTTCACTATATTTTAGCCCACTGGCCTTTCTTGTGTTTTTCAATATAGTTCATATACAACTTTATCTTATGACTTCCTGTATGGAAAGCTTTTATCTCCTGTTTTCTGATGTCTGTTCTTTCAGATCTCTTCTTACATGTCACATTCTCAGCAAGCCGCTCTCTGACTACCCAATCTGAAGCAACACCCCATATTCCTTCTTTCTCCATCACATCAGCATTTTTAGTTTTCTTTTAGCATTTCTTCCTTTTTGAAATCATATACTCATTTAATTTTTTTTTTTACATGTTATTTGTCTGTCTTCTGTAGAAATGTAGGGATTTTGTCTTTTGTACAGTATCTTCGGCTCTTAGAACAATTTGTCCTACCTACTAGGCTCTCAGTACGTATTTATTGAACATAAAGCTGCTGTTTTTAGCTGTATTATGGTTTAATAGTTTTTTGTGGATTAACTACCCTTTAGAACACAGTATTATGAGAATTTGTTTTATATCCCAACCACAAAGGGCCTTTGGGAATAGAATTTTCTTACCTTTCTCCTGCTTGAGAATATGGCACTTGAGAATAATCGCTCTTGTATATGTCTCATTGCTTTTCACATAACCCATACTTCTCTTCCCCTTCTCTTCCAAGTTGTTTTGTGTGCAGAAGGCTTTTATTTACACAACAGGAAAATAATGACAGGTTTTACAATATACAGTGTTAAAGGCTTAGGCCTTTAAGCCAGATGGCCTTGTTTTTTCATCCTAGCTCTGCCATTTACTAGCTTCGTAATATTAGGCAAGTTATTCAGCCTCTTTGTATTTAGGTTTCCTCTTCTGCAAAAAAATACCTATCATATTGTGATGATGAAATGAACTGATCTATATAAGGTACTTAATATGGTGCCTACCACATAATAAGTACTCAATAAATATTAGCTATTATTGTTAATATTATTATAATATTGTCAATTATTCTGTATCCTTTATTGATGCATTTTCTCATCAGCAATATTGTTTTCTCCATGGGGTTCTTGTGAGACTGAAATTCAGTGATGGATATAGAAATACTTTAAAAATTTGGTGTGGACTTTAACTTGCAGCTAGGAGATAGCCTGGACAGCCCCAAACAACTAGAAAATTGGACATAAGACATGAAACGATTATTTTCAAACATTGACTAATAGTCAGCATAGGACTCTGATCTTTGAGGAAAGAGACACAAATGAGGTGATCCCTATGATTTCCCTGAAGGCAATTTCCTCGCTATAAGGACATGGGTGGGAAACCAGACAGACCTTAGTGGTCTTGCTGAGTTGAGGAGATGGAGATGGCTTTTGGAGAGGCTAAGGCAGCTAGACGTTGTGGAATAGTATACCAGAGAAGAGGGAGCTACTCAGAGAAAGAGCTCCAGCAATCTGTAGGAGGTCCCCTTGAGTATTTGTTGAACATTAGGCCATGCAACTGTGGGGAAAGTTTTACAAGTTCATGTAAAATGATTGGGGAGTTGCAAGTTGAACTAGTCCCAGAATTCATACAGACCAAAGAGATAGATGTTCAAGCTTCAACCACCCAGAGTAAAGTCTTTAGTGGTCACCAGGAACATTAACTGTCTCCAAGGAGTCTACTATGCCTTAGTAGAATGACTACACTATCCCTGGAGGGAAGGCTACGCTCAAAAACAGGTTTTGAAGGGTTCAAACTGATACACAAATTACTTAACTACATGTCAGAACAGAGCCAGAAATTTTCAGATAGTCAAAAGGATAACATTTACAATATCTAGCATCTAATAAAAAAATTACTAGACATGCCAAGGAGGAAAAAATTGTGACCCATAAACAGGAGCAAAATTAGTCAATAGAAATAGATTGAGAAATGACATAGATGATAGAAGCTGTGGACCAAGAGGTTAAAATGGTCGTAACTGTGTTTGAATATTTAAAAGGTAACATAAATCTAATCAGGATTGAAATGAAAGATATAAACGAATGGAACATCTAGAGGTGAAAAATATAATATCTTAAAAAATATGTATACACACCAAATGGAATTAATAGCTATGTCAGTTGAGTCCTTTGAGAAGCAAATGCTAAGACCAGGTTAAATATCATGCAGAGATTTTATTAGTGGAAGCACCTGTGTGAGAGACAAGTGTAAGGGACCTGGGTAATGTGGGAGAGCCATCAGACTACAATGTTTGTCTGACCCTGGGTGAAGGAGAGAAGGAAGAAAGATTGGTAGAGGTATCATAGGCAAGATCTTAGGTGGTCTTGCATCAGAGGAGTCCTCGCTCCCTAGGAATGGGCTTGTCTTAGTATCCCTGCTGCTCTCAGTCAGTGCAAGGAACAGCCCATGGGAAACATCCTTCCTGCAAATGTGGCTGTGGATTTAGAGTGCAGCAGCTAAGGTGGAGGTCTACTTGAGATAATGGACATCTCTAAAGTTCTGAAAGAAAATGAAACTATCAACTTAGAGTTCTGTATAAATATAGAGTTCCACATAAATATCTTTCAAAAATAAGTCAAAATAACTTTCTTGGAGAAACCAAAACTGAGATAAACCGTTGCAAGTAGACTTGCACTTCAAGAAATGTTAAAAGAAGTTCTTCAGGTGGAAGAAAATTATGCCAGATGGAAATTTGTATCAAAACAAGAGTGAAGGGTGCCAGAAATTGTAAACATGTGGGTAAGTATGAAGAATAATGTTGTTTTTAAAGTTTTAAAAATTCTTTTAAAAGAAAATGGATTTTAAAAAATATAGCAACATATTGGAGATTTATAACATATGAAAGTAAATATATGACAACAATAATAAAAAGCAAGTAGAGACAAATCGTATATTGCTTTAGGCTCTTACATTATAAGTGAAGTGATATAATATTATTTGAACCTAAACCTTTACCAGTCATTGAAAATTAAGACTCATAAGCCAAAAATGAGAGATAAAATAAAATAATTGGAAATTAATTTT